AAAAGCACCAACTAGTAGTGCCTGTACTTACCATGTATGCGGACGCTGGAAAGCTTTTTGCCTCAGGTATATTTTATTACCAAACAACCCTCCAAATATGTCAAACCATAACAGTTCCAAATTCACCTTAAAACAACAAAGTCAACTGGTCAAAACATAGCATAGGGAATCTTTGCCACTTGCACGGCTAGTCATTTGAGGAACCATGGAAAGCAACATTGCGGCGAGCACCACCAATATAACTTCCTCTTCTCAGTAAAATGCAATTACCCAGTTGCCATATTAGTTAGTAGTATTATCGGTATATAGTTAGGTACTTCAAACAGAAGTCATTTCTATTAATTTTCATATTTCTTCTTTAAAATAAACACACACTTTACTTCTTTTCGTCGCCGGATATTTCTCCGACGATCTTTCTCCGGCGGAAGGTTAACTCCTTATCAAAAACTCCTTCAACCCTATGCGCTCACATTTCCTCAGGTTTTCCCTCCATTGTTTATCTATACAATTTGTGAATAAAAATGTGTTTGAATTTTTACAATATAGGCTTATTGATCTTTTCAAGCTCTCTGTTTCTCTCAAAATTCTTTTTTCTCTTTAGATCGTTTAGTGCCATGTTATGTATGATCGAAGCTTTGATTTCCATCATTTCTTTATTGAAATCGCTTAAGGTTTTTTGCTGTTTGTTTCCTTATAGGTAATTGAGCAGAAAGGACAGCTTTCAGTGTGTGTGTGCTTTTGCATGGCTCGAGACTCGATCCTTATCAATGGCTTCTACAAGTCAAATGGCGTCGTTAATAAGAGTAGGGAGTTTGTTCTTGGAGAATAGCAGTTTCGAGCTTTTGGACTTGTGAATCGGACGAGGTTTAGTGAGTTGCATGCTATGAGTACTGTGGTGGAACAGAGCGAGCCTTTCGGAATTGTGATAACGGCTCAACACAAAATGGGTAGGCTTGGAAATACTTTATGAAGCTTTTTTGAGTGTAAAAAGTTGTGTCTTATTATGGTATGACACTTGAATGTTCTGTTCTGTGTGAAATGCTGTTTGGCAATTTGAGAGATGAAGTTTACATCTGATGTTGAATTATCATATCTTAAGAGCTATTTTTCTACATTACACATCCGAAAACGTGCTACTTTCTGTATTCATTGGTTCGAATTCTTTGGTTTTATTGTAATAGATTGCTTTTAAGTTTCATTTTATTGGCACATGCGATGATAATGAAATCAATGATAATGATAATGATAGCTGCCCACTGAATTCCAAGCCTGAAGTTTCTTATTTACTTCTGTTGTATTTAGTTTATGGTAAAGAGATTTATAGAGTGGGAAGATTATCATATTAATTTCTTTACCACTTCATTAGGTTAAAAATTGCTTATTGTCCTGTGTTGATTTAAGTGGTGTAAGTGACAGTTGCAACAACACATCCATATCTGTCTTGAGATAAAGGTGGTAATGATTAGTGGCTACCTGTTGGCCTGTGGAATAAAATAGTATTCTGGAAACATCCATATGAGAATATTCACAAATAGGATTATCTAGTGGAATAAAAGATGATAGTCTCTTCTCTTAGTAATTAATTAAATATGCATGATGTCATTTTTGGTTCAGTGAGCGCTGAAATTTCATTCGTGAGTGGTTTAAAGGAGTTCTATTTCCTTTTGAATTAAGGGCAAAGAAGATCTGGTGAAAAGATTTGCTTGTCTCCTTCATTCAAACTATTGAACTTCTCCTCTTTGACGATAATAGATGCAATCTCTTGGAATGCGGATAAAAAGGAGTCCATACCTTATGTGGGTGCACACTTTTTCTAATTTCATGTTTTCATTCATGTGATGGGAGTTTTTAGTCTTTGTCTGGAATTGACATATTATAGGTTAATTGTTGCGTGCAAGTTCAGATATTTGCAGTTGGGTAGCTAGAGTTTGGAGGTTTCCAAAACTGGTTCGGCACTTAGAGTTTCCAAACTTCTAATTTATCAGTTAAAATTTTTTAAACATTATTTCTGCTGCTGCTGTTGCCAATTATTTCTAAAACTGCGGTGATTGAAGCCCCAAATGCAAGTGCCTTTGGCTTTCAATTGCCAAATTCTATGCATTCCTACTTAGTACATCCACTAATTCTGTTTACTCTCTTTGGACTGTTTTCCAGTCCTTTCAACATCTACTGTGTCAATAAAGCGCAGGTTATCTTGCTATTCTTCTTGAAGAACAACCCGATTTTCCGATATCTGAATGTTACTATGCATGATACCCCAGTATTCCTTCGAAAAATTGCCAAACATGGACCTGCTAAAAATATCTCTTTGAAAAAGTGAGTGTCAAAAACCTATGGGCTCAATTGATGGAAGAAGTGGTTAAAAGCAGTCTGTCAAGCCTAGAATAGAAAGCTATAAGAATCCTTTCTAAGCAGAAATTGCACCGGTCCCTGAATGTACTTGTAGCTAGAATTACTATCAACGATTATACTATCTTTCAGCTATTTTTTAAAAGGGTTTTTCTTTAAACAAAAAAAGGGGGGGGGAAGAATTTTTGAGTGTGCATTGTGCATTCAGAAGACAACATCATCAGTAGTATAATAGAGCAGCATTATAGGCTCAATCACAGTAGGTTGAATTTACAATGGAGTTATCTTACAATTAATGAACCTATTTTACATGAACCCTCTGTAAATTTTAGGACTCTTAAAGTTTAGCATTTCTAATTTGCATTTTGAACAATGCAATATTTTTCTAGTTGTATAGGATCTTGTTATGCGGTGCTACTTATTGCATGCATTAATGAATGAATTCAAGATGAGTTTCCATCAACAGAGGCCCTTGTACCTCGAGCGGTACGGTATTCGAAGGAGCTTAGACAAGATAAATAGAAATTAAATACCTGCAATATCATTAATCAACTTGAGAAAATATCCACATCGAAAGCCAAAATTGGGAAAAAAAAATTTCACCAGTAAGATCAGAATACTCATAAAACATCAACGTAATCGCAATAGTTCTTATTTCTTTTCCATTTCTTTTAATCGTATTAAAATTCTTTCCCTTGCCTTGAATACGTCCATGATGCACTCAGGCCATCATGTGACAAACGAACGTGACACGATCATCTTTGTTATTGGAATTTACTTCATACATTGCTGCTTTCTCTCCCTCCGTTAGGATACTGAAATGGATTTCCCTACAATACCCAAAATTAAAAGCTTTTGTGAGAGACTCATTTGTTGTAAACTCTTCCATGATAAGCATTCACTATCAAAAAGGTGCTAGAGGAAGAATTTCACTAGCCATTTTGCTAATAAAATTCTCCATTTTATATGGAGAATCTTATACTTTACTATTCACTTGCCGCCTGAGTGAAAAAAAAAAAAAAATTTAAGAACGAGGGATACCTGCAATGTCTATGCTAGTCAATATTTTCGATTGCTAGGGTTCTGGAATCCTGCATTTTGCATGTGTTTCTTATTCACACTTAAGAAATAACATCTCCATTACTATGAATTTCACAATGTTTGCCTAACCTTAAATTCTCCACATGAGGAATTATCCAATTGCCTTCTAATTCTTTTGGAGTTGTAGTGCGAACTCCAGGAATTGCTTCATCTAAGCTTCCATAGCAAGGATTTAAGTCCCCTAGGTTATGGCCATTAAATGATGCTCGGTGATTTTCTTATTGTAGTCCACATCAAAAGAAATCATATTACTTCTTCAACCCTTCTTGGAGCTTCTTGAATCTGTAGTGCATATTCCTAAAAACACAACTAGTTTAAGGTATTCTCTGGAACATTCGACGGTTGAACTCAAAATTTTAAAAAATCATTTAAATTGGTGATTAAAATGCAATTTTTGAAGACTACTCAATTAGTTGTTTGGTGTTTTTCTTTTTGCCACCCACAAACATGTCAAACATAACTTTAATTTGCTTTTACATTCACACATTCCACAAGTTTGAATTTTCTATACGGACCTCGTATAATAAAAATCGGCCAAACAAGCCTTAAGTAAAAAGTTTTAGGTTTCAATATTGTTTTCGGTCCTTTCTTTTCGATTTTCCCTTCTTGGGAAACAAGGAATTGGCCCTTGAGAGCCAGTTAAGCAAAACTTCATTCCAATTTACACACAAAAACTGCGGTTCTTTGAAATTCAACAAGTTCCCATTTGCAAACCAGCCAATGTATCCACCTAGTACAATGCTAGAAAAATTACCATATATCCTATGATATTAATTCAATTACAAAGGAGTGCAGAGATGGCTCGCAAATTTAGTTAAACTTCTCAAAGTGAGCAATTTGTGAACAACAATTGTTGCTCCCTAATTCGTCTTTGGCCACTTTTCGTCAATGGAAGACAATCTCCAAGGGCGAAGTTGATATTCAATTTCTGATTGAACTACGAAATAGTTTTTTTTAAATTCTTAATGAGAGACTTTTAATATTAATTACTAGTTCTTCTACCAGATCATCTAGCTATTTTTGCTCTTCTTTCTTGTTTTTACTATTACACACTACTTCCGAAACTGAACGAGAATATATATATTATATATATACTTGCGAGCCTACTAAATTCTTCCATTTCTTGGAAATCTTAGATAAGCTTTCCTATCTCATGCCAAAATTCTTTTTGTATAATTTTGGGCCATGAACTAAACCAAAGGTATCTTTATATCTAGCTTGCAAACAAAAGGTACGAGAATGGGTTTTGAAGAGCGGAATCACAATTTTACTTCTCATTTGCTGAAAATACCAATGATCCCTTGTTTCTTGCCTCAGAAAGCACAAAGGAGAAACAATCTCTTATCTTACTTTTTTTTTTTTTTTTTTTTTTTTTTCCTTATTTGAATTTCAGTTGTAGCATACCTTACCTAGAAGAGCTGAATAAAAGAACCCAAGGCTTATAGCCTAACCTCCTATGTCTTTAGGTAAGTTGCTTGATCATCCATTTCTTCGTTCAGTCATTTTTCAAACGCCTTCCATTTCATATTGTCCTTTTTTTTTTTTTTTTTTTTTTTTTTTTTTTCCTTATTTGAATTTCATGTAGCTACTTACCTAGAAGAGCTGAATAAAGAACAAGGCTTATGCCTAACCTCCTATGTCTTTAGGTAAGTTGCTTGATCATCCATTTCTTGTTCAGTCATTTTCAAACGCCTTCATCATATTGTCCTTTTGATTTGATCACTAGATGTTAAACCACAAACTTTTTGAGGAAAAGAGGCATTTATAAGGTAGGAAGCTGGAGGAAGTTTATCTTAATAAAACAATGACACTATCCCCTTAGAGAGATAAGGCCTTATCTTATTAGCTTTTTTTGATTATCGAAACTTCTCCCCAATAAGTTAGGAATGAATATATCCCCGTCACAAACTCCTCAGAGAAGACCTTAATAAGTCAAGGGAAGGCATTTCACTTTACAATTTAAAAATCAGCAGTAAATTGCTATCGTATCTTTGCCAACGGAACCTCCTTTCTACAAAATTCACTTTAATGCCAGATAGCTTCAATGTAAAAACAAAACACAACTTAAAGAATTGATTTGTTGGATCCCCATACCATAAAGAGCTTGTTTGTGTGATGTGTCTTGAGAAAATTACAATTTTAAATGGTGTTGAAAAATGCTGTTTGTAAATGCTATTTAGACTGTGTTTAGCATTTGTCCATAACCAAAATGAAAATGGTAGGAAGACGAGCTTATATTAATGCTTAATGCCCATATTTCTTCTGTCTTTCTGTTGCATTAGATTGAAGAATTTAAATTTTTGATATTCTTAAAGTATTTCTATTTCTAAGTTCTATTAAACCTTTTTGATTCAACTTCCTAATGAACTCCTTTTCTTTGGTAACTATATTCAGAAGTTTAGGGTTACATAATTTTTAAGGTTTTTTGTTTGTTTAGGTGTTGTCAGTGGCATAAGATCTGTTACACATGAGAGAAATATAAGGGATATATCACTAGATGTTTGTGTTATGTATTTTATTAGTAGTGAAATGTGCTCTTTTGTTTGCAACAATCTCTTTGTTTGTCAGTTTGGAATGATATTGTATTTAGGGATTTGGTAAATGCAGGAGGCCATCGACGTTTTTAAGTGTTGTGTTATTTGGTGCATTTGATTGGAAGGGACATAAGATTTTTAGAGATCTAGTTTTGCTTATGCAAGTGTAATGGGATTTTCTCTCCTTTTCTAACTCAAATATGAGTTTATGCATTAAATACCTGTTGTTCCTTTTTGTTTTTTCAACATGCTACCTTATTGTACTTTTTTAATTTTTTCCTTTTTATTTTATCATTAAATTCCTCTTTTATCTGAAAAAAGTTGTGGTCAGAGGGTCTTCTGCTACCATTAGGAATGAATAATATCTTTCCAAACACATCATTAATTCCAATCACACCATAGAGTTCTAAAATGCAAATTCTTCTAGGACATATATAGGAAAATTGCAACGTTCAGTTTCATAAGCCTTGTCCATATCAAGCTTACAATTCATCCTTTTCTTACATTCCTAAACTTCACAAGCAATCAATGACCCCTAACCATGAATTATCTTTTCTCCATAAAAGCATATTAAGACAGCCTCTCAAAAAACTGCAACTTGGATGAAATTAATCAACTCGAGACCTTGTTTTAGTGATTAATTATTGTTGCAAGCCCAAAGGAAGAGGCAGCAACTTAAAATTCTAGGGGACTTAATTTTTTTTTTTTGCAAGAAAAAAACATGAATCTTCAACTAGGCGGAAAAATCAGACAATTTCAAAATGAATTTTAACACAACAATAAATTTATTGGTAAAGAATTCCATGCATTATTCCTGCAGCTTATAATTTTAGAAAGCAAATCCCTGAAACTTAAAAACAATCTTGATCCTTTGGTAAATCTAATCCTTAATGTTTTTACTAATTTAGATATGATGAAAAAATATCCTGAATACCTATTATAGCCTTAGCTATAATAGCAGAAATTATATTGCTAAAATACAATTTTGTTAAAGCTTCTCTGTCCGTTTAGTGGCATAATTTATCTATGCTAACCTGTTTCCGATATTAACGGTCTAGAGGCAATTGTAGTGTGTGTTTAGAGTGTGAATTACTGGAAACATGTTTCGCAACCTGACTGCAATTTCTATTTGGATCAGAAAGTAAGGTGAACTCTAACTCCTTTTACTCTACTGCTTTATCGATTGTTCTTGTATAAACTCCTTTGTGTCTTAGTTTAACTTTGTGGACATGCATTGTTATAGTCATTTGGGAAACCATACATGTTAGCATTGTTCAATCAGAAATAGTTGCTAGTTTGCAGGGCTCCAAGTGAGCATATCCCAACGATAACTGCTGAAGCTTTCTTAGTGGGTTTATGCTTGCCTTAGAGCTTGGCTTCTGTGTAATCTCTTACTTTTGCTTTCCTTCTTTCTTTCGGCTTGGCTTGATAATATATTCTTGGTATTTCTCTAGTGTAAAAGGCACAGGTATTATGCCTAAAAGCAAAGATCTGCATGTTGTTTTAGACCTACAAACCACAAGGTTAAACAGAAAACCTCGGATTTGGGGAACCAGAAAAGAAGAGCTTCAATGGTTTACTGGTTTAGTTAATGAGGGTTTGGAGTAAATGAATTCCAAAGCATCCATCCCTTGTATTATTAATGCAGCAGGGGAAAGAGGAAATGGATGCCTTACATTTTGGATATGTTGATTTTTGTTTATATAGGAGATGGTGTAGAGGTTGGCTTTGGCGTAATGGTATAGTTACTCCACTTTTGACCTGGAGGACATGGACTCGAGCCATGGAAACAGTCTCTTTAGAAAAAAGTAGGGAGAAGGCCATGTACATCAACCCTTCCTAGAGTCCTTATATAGGGATGCTTTGTGCATTGGGTCGCCCTTTTTGGGAGATAGTGGGAATGTTTCTCCAGGGCCAACATGGTTTGCGTTTAATGAATTCAGTATTCCTTTGTGTTATGCACAATGCAACTCCATTTTCTCACAGTAAAGCCTCTATGTATGAAGGGCATTTGATAACCAAATAGCCTGGTTATGATAAAACCAAATTGTCAGGTGTGTAGTCCAAGTAGGATGAAATAGGTACATATGTGGCTACTGCCGACTGGATTATATGTGAAAAATCAAAATGTTGGGTCATAACTTTTTTGTGGTTTTCTCGTCAGGCATTGCCTTCTTTGGAAATAATTAAGTGTTTAAGAAGGGAATGTAACATTTATTGAGTATTGCCAATGGTGCTTTTTTCTAAAGCTTCCAATTGAAAAATAAGAAGTAAAAACCCAGAACACGATGATATGGATAGAGAAGTGTTGTTCAAAGCAACTTAAAAGACCTCATCAAGATTCTCATAATCTTGACAAGTTATATGAAAACTTGTAATTATGCCTTTCCATTTCTAAAGTAGTTAAACTAAACTCTTGAAACATTTATGTCCATAATTTTTTTTTACACATTTTATTAAATTTTAAGAACCATGACTTTGGTATTGGATTTACCTAATTTGATCAATAATTTGGGCTTTGGACTGACTTTTGTAGTGTATATATGTTCATGGTTGCTCTACAAGTAAAGAAGCCTAGTCAATATGGTCATAGGGGTGTTAAAATTTAAAGGATAATGTTGTAAGTCCTATAAACATGTACAATTCTTATTAAATGTCCGAAATTATGGTACTTGTTGCACTGGAGGTACTGTGCTTATGTCAAAATGTGGAACATGTGTCTGTCTCATGTAACCGTTGTAACTTGTTGAAGTTAATGTCTTCACTGGTGGATTGTTCGTAGTAGATCTTGTTTTTTCTGCGAATGTAGATTCCATGATAAGGAATTCAGTCTATCATGCTATATATGAAGTTAAACCTTATAAGTAGAATCTTACTCTATGTGGATCTGTTAGTGTGTACTTGTTACATGCCAAGTGTAAAGGCTTTGCTCATGTACTAATTTCTTAACTTTCAGAAAACCTTAATCTACATGGTACACAGGTTAATCTCTGAGAAAAAGAAAAAATAAGGAAAAATAAGGGTTTTAAAAAATTTTGTTGTCTGCTATAATTGCATTGGAAAGCAGGTAGTTCTGGTTAATGCATTTGCCTGATCTTAGTTCATTACTTGTTGAACAAATGAAGCATATCTTAAATTGTTTTATATTTCCTAATTGTTTTTTTCCCATTTTGAATAAATCCTTGCGAATTCTAGTTTCTTTTCTTAGCCACTTTTGTTGATTTAAGGTTGCGACTCATTTGACTCGGTCGGGGACTTGTCCTTTATTGTTTCTGCAGTCTTTCCAGCATAAAAGCTTTTGGATGCCAAGGGATGCTGGGTGTCTAACTGATGGAGAAATAGGCTATGATAGTTCCACAAGAATTGAACCAAAGCGTGGACATCAGTGGTTTATGGATACCACTGGACAAGAATTGTTCAGCAATAAAAAGCAAGCAATTGAAGGTGTTGGTAACCGGCCAGTTTTGGGAACTTCTCATATGAATGTTTCTCCATGGCATAATGCTACCAATTTTCAGTCAGTTTCAGGACAATTTAGTGACCGCCTATTTGGGTCTGAGGCTGTACGAACTGTTAATATGGTCGATAGAAATGTCCCTTCTGCAGGTAGTGGAAGTATGAGCATGGATATGGGAAGGAAGGATTTCAGTGATCAATATGGTAGCAATTCCTCTATGGGTTTGTCCATGACTCACACCATCGACGATCCATCAGGGTGTATTAGTTTTGGTGGACTCAGAAAAGTTAAAGTCAATCAAGTTAGGGACTCTGGAAATGACATTTCTGCATCCATGGGGCACTCCTATAGTCGTGGAGATAACAGTGCAATTTCAATGGGTGCGGTATATGATAAGAATGATTGCAGTACCATATCATTGGGGCAAACTTATAATAATGGGGAGGATAATACCATCTCGATTGGCCCCAACTTCACTAAGGCAGATGGCAATTTCATTTCAATGGGCCATGCCTTCAATAAAGGAGATGGAAATTTTATAACAATGGGTCATAATGATTATACTAAGGGAGATGACAATATTTTATCAATGGGTCAGCCCTTTGACAAGGAGGATGCTAACTTTATAACAATGGGCCCATCATATGAAAAGGAAGACAGCAATGCCATATCAATGGCTCCTTCCTTCAGCAAGGGACATGAAAATTTCATTTCAATGGGCACTACCTATGATAAAGCAAATGAGAGTTTCATTTCTATGGGCCCTTCTTATAGCAAGGGAGATGATAGTATCATGTCCATTGGTGTGAACTATGACAAGGCAGATTCCAACATGACATCAATGTGTTTTGCTCAGGACAAAGGGGATTCCAACATTCTATCCATGGGTCACAACTATAACAAGTGTGAGAGTAATACCATATCTTTTGGAGGTTTTCATGATGAACCTGAGGCAAATCCTTCTGGCAGTATAATCAGTGGCTATGATATGTTAATCAGTAATCATAACTCGGCTCAAGTTTCAGAAATACCTGGTCCAAAAGATTTTGTTCAGTCAAATGCAGAGCCAACTGTAAATAATGCCCCAAAAGCTAACTCAAAAACTGATACTGCCTCTAAAAATAAAGATGCAAAGGCATCTAAGAAGATTCCGCCAAACAACTTTCCTTCAAATGTCAAAAGTTTGTTATCGACCGGCATGCTTGATGGGGTTCCTGTAAAGTATGTTTCATGGTCAAGGGAGGTGAGATACATATATCATATGTGCGTGAAGTGTTAATAAGTGTTTAGAGAGAATATACATGCTCACCGAATAAGTTTCTTTTGAAATGCGTTAACCTTCTTGCTTGGCAGAAAAATCTGAAAGGAATTATAAAGGGAACTGGGTATTTATGTGGCTGCCAGGAGTGCAACTTTTCTAAGGTAATTTATAACTGTAAGTTTGGCTTCACTCTAAATAAAATTAAAGTATGTACATAATGAGTTTTATGACTTGATGCAATCATGCAGGCTCTAAATGCTTATGAGTTTGAGCGTCATGCTACCTGCAAGACCAAGCACCCTAACAATCATATTTACTTTGAGAATGGAAAGACCATCTATGCAGTTGTTCAAGAGCTGAAGAGCACTCCTCAAGAGATGCTTTTCGATGCAATCCAAAATGTGACTGGGTCATCAATTAATCAGAAGAATTTCCGTAGCTGGAAAGGTAATGCATTTAGTGGTGATTTATCCAGCTAACTTGCAAATATGAAATATTTATTTTCTTTACTCCCCCTCATACAATTCCCTCTTCTTCCTTATTAGCATCGTATCAAGCTGCCACCCGTGAACTTCAGCGTATCTATGGAAAGGATGAAGTTGTCATGCCATCTTGAGATAAAGATACCAGTTCTAGAATGTGGGCGGCAGTATGTTCTGTGCTTAGCAACATACATCTTTGGTAAACTATCAACTTGCTTTGGGATTTTAACAACTTTGAGGAGACAAAGCTTATTGAGATTTTATCCTTTTTTTTTTTATTGAATAAAACCCAAGTTTTAATTTCAGATAATTAAATGTATTAAAATGGAAATGTGTTATATATGTATGTGTGTGTGTGTGTGTGTGTGTGTGTGTGTGTTTAAGGTTGGCACCAGAGGAGCCTTCTCCATATTGGTTGAGGAGACAGCTGTTCCACAGAGGGGACGGATGAGGGCTTGAGGGAATTCATTACAATACCATCTTTAAGGAGTAGTGCTTATCATTGATATCCTAGCCTAAAATGATGTGTTGGCTGGAAAAAAACAAAAATGAACAGGCATATTGCCCACAATAGATTTGATTAAATGAACTTCAGTGCAATATCTTGAGTTTCTATGGAAAAATTGCTCTGGAAGACTTTATTATGCATCAATAGTTCAAAAACCCTTTCTGCTGATTGGATTGCTATCCCAAAATTCGCAGTTGCAAAAGTGGCTTTTTCAATTGTCAACCTTATAAGCATCCTGATACCTATTATTAGGAATGCAATCAGGAGTATGCTTATGTTTTTCCAAGGCCAATGGCCATTTCAATCATTATGTGCCGATACGTGCTGGTTCTGGTGTCTAGCACAAGTTACTGGTTCAGTGTCTGTAGTCATTAGCATCGCATAGTTGGCTAAACTATTAAAAAAATTTAAAACTTTACGGGTAGTTTTAATTGTATCTTAATACCAATTTTCTTCTTCTAGTTCTTTAAATTTCAACTTTAGTGACAATAGTAATATAGTTTCAAATTATAGCCAATTCAATGAATAAAATATTATTACCGTTGAACTTATATGGTCAGATTAACTAAAAACTCACTATTTAATAACACACTAACACTAATATTGATTAGGAATTTTTTTTAAAATTCATAAAAAGTCAACTAAATAATAAATTTTAGTTAGTTATAAGCATAAAATATTAGTTTAGGTTTTTGTTTTTTTTCATTTTTTAAGCATGAAATTTTAATTAAGGTTTATTGAAATTATACTTTAAGTTAGATTTCTTATAAAAATAGGTTTTTATTCATTATGATATAATTTTATTTTTAGGGAAGCATTACTTGTCAATATTACACAAAAAATAAAAAGTATTTTATTGTTCAGATGAATATATTATTTTTTATCATAATATGGGAGCTATTTGAAGATGATATCTAATTTATTAAATTGAATACAATTTGAAATTAAAATACTATTGTAATTAAAATTAAAATTCAAAAGGAAAAAATTTTAAATTTAATTTATAGTACAATTAAAACTAACCGCAATTTAGCTTAATTTTATGTGTAGGCTATCTGTCGGTCTTACTCGCTACGGATGACAATAGGGCATGGCAAGGGCGGGGAGCATTTACCATTTAATTGTTAGGACGGTATGGAATCGCATGGGATCAGTTGAAAATCGGGGACGGCAGATATTTGGGCGAAAAAAAAAAAAAGATGCCATCTCTGTAATGATGTGGTGTTGATGTTGGCCCAATTGAAGGCCCAAGAAAGGAAGGCTTAGCTGGTCCTGAAAGATATTTTTCGGGCTTTAAATGGTTTGGATCCACTAATAAAAAGGCTTTTTATTACTTTTTGTTTATAATCCAAGGCTTAATTTTACCTGTCGTTCTAAATGTAACGTTGTTGTTCACAAAACTCCTTGAGGCCAATTTTTGGTGGCAATATAGCTTGGAAATCTGATGCGACAAGAAGAAATTTTCAGCTCCTTAAATTAAAATGCCACATAAGTAAAAGAAAAGGTAGAAATTTTCTCTCTTGACCGATTAGTTGCCTTGATAGTTTTTCTCTCATCTACCCGCGATAGTTCTTTCTTATTTTTTCATGGGGATTGCATCTCCAAGAAAAAATGGTGAGAGGGTGAGGGATTTTCTTGTTGAGTAGTAATCTCTATGACTTTTCACCTAGGTTGCATGGAAACCTTAAAAAGTCTAATATACGGTACTGGACATCAGTACTCTTCAGACACTTTCGGATGTGTGTCAGACACTTTAAAAAATATGTCCAAATATTTTTTAAAATTTTATTAATTTAGGACACTACGCTTTTTGGACACTTTAGACATGTTTACTATGGAAGCAGCAAAATGTTGATAGATGATTCATGGTGCAAATGCGCCTCTACTTCAAAAATAGCCTTCAAATTGCTTGGTCAATCATTTTCTTCATCATGCTGCGGAAGGAATTGGAGTACATATTCATTTATCAATTCTGTGAAAAAGAATAAATTAACTCCAAAATGTGTCAAATGTTTGGTTTTTATTCCTAGTAATCTTCGACTTTTATGAAAAAGAAACTCAAAATTTTGTACTGAACAAACAAAAATGTAGAACACTGCAGGGAATCAATTTGACTCTTTTGAAGATGTTGAAATTCACAAAAATTTTCAGTTTATCTCTAGGTGAGTGAGAGTAGGAAGTGATGATATCATTAATGATGATATTATTATTGAGGATCTAACTAATGATGTTGAAGTAGAAAATTAAGTGTTATTTTTTTATTTTATGTTTATGACTTATTATGAATGGTTATTTACATATTTTAATTTCTTAATAAATTATATTTTTTTAGTGTAACATGTCCTAAACGTGTCGTATTTCAATTTTTTGAAAATTACCATCTCCTACGTCCGTGTCGTGTCTTGTCCTGTGTCCCTTGTCCCGTGTCGGAATCCATGCAACTTAGCCTTTTTCTATGTCTCTTTGACTCTCTCTCTTTAGCTCTCTCTCTCTCTCTCTTGATTTCTTGATCTGGTCCTTGTCAACTTTACAATGGCTACTGCACCGGCGAGGGCTCGAGTGGATACCTCATAAAGCTTTTCTTGATGGGCAACAACAGCATGTTAGTCAATTGATTTTTAATTTCTCGGATCTTTTGTTTTGGTTTTTTGTTCTGGTTACAAGGTAAGTTAGTTTTTTTACTGAATGCATTACAGTGCTCCTAATTTCTTGCAAAACTGAAAATTTATATTACAACATTGCATGACTGACCTACCATATATTAGTATTTCGAAAACTTACAAATTAAGAAGGAAATTCATTGATTAGTGCAGATGATTTTTATTTATCATCTAAATCTCTTCAGGAATTGTCTCAAGTGCATCATCATAGCCAGCAGACAAAGAAGGCACAGCACTTGCACGATCATCACCATTAATTTTTAAGAAATGACTTTTTCATGTTATGAAAAGAGATCATGATTTTAAATGTTACTATAATTATGATTATAAATGATAAATATCATTATATATATGTTGGCACGTACAAATGAATTTAGAGTGATTAGAATTAGAAAATTCATCTAATGACCTTTCAATTTTTAAGAAATGTCATTTCCATTTTCTAAAAAAATCATGATTTTTCTATTTTTCTTATCATATATAGAGCATATCTCACTAATAATTTACTACTAACTTGCATACTGATCAAGGGGAAAATTTTGGCAAAAAAAGAAAAAAAAAAAATGGAAGAACAAGATTATTCTGCTTTAGTTGAGATGGTGAGTGTTAGGGTCACAATAGATCAATTATCAACTGATTTTCATATTGCATTGAATGCAACAATTCTTCAAGTAAAGCAAAAGATTGAAAAGAGTCTGACGTACAAAGTCGAAATGCAAAGTCTCTCTTGTAGTGGTCAAAAATTGGAAGATGATCGCTCTCTTGAATCCTATGGTTTTAAACAATTTCTGAAGCTTGATCTTGAATTTGTACGTCCAAATTCTGCAAAATTCAATATTGTGTTGAAGTTTTCTGATAAAGAATCAGTTTTACAAGTAAGAGCAACAACCGCTGTGGCAAGTTTGAGGGGCAAAATTGAAAGAAAATGGGGTATTGTTTATAGTTATTTGATTTTAACCCATAAAAATGAGGCAATGAGTGATAAATTTTCTCTCGCTCATTATGGTGTTGTTGAAAATTCAGAGATTGAAGTGGTTGTGATGCAAGTAGAAGCACGTTGAGTATTAAGTAGTATTAATTAATTAAGCTTAATAATCAATTTTAATATGAATAAGTAATTAAAAATTAAATGTTTAGTTTTATTATTCCATTAATATAAAGTAGAAATGTTACTCTTTAATTATTTTGCCCTATTGGAATGAATAAATATTTCATATCTAATTTTAAATTTTAAATACTTCTTAAATATATTGATCTTTATGCCAATTTCATCCTAACTTTAATAATATTTTGCAATAACATCCTAAATTGCAATTAAAACTTAAATTGCAAATTAAAAAATACATTACTACGGAGTTCACTCTTGATCTTGAATGTAAGTTAACCTTTTGCTTTCCTCTCCTCTTTTATGTTATTTTAAAGTGCATTTACTAACTTTTTTTGTTATTATGCAATAATATTATTAATATTTTACTTTTATTTTTTTTATTTTTTGAGTTTTTATGGATAGTAAGTTTTAATAAAATATTTTTATAGTTTTTATAGTGCATTTTATTTTTTTCTAATATTATTTTTAGTTATTATGCATGAATGTTATTAATATTTTAATTTTTAGTTTTTGAATTTTAATATTTTAATTATGCCAGAGAAATGGTTTCCTATTCTATATGGAGTTCTCTCCTTTTAATATTTTTTGTGTCTATTTTATGTCGTTTAATCAATGGCAATGTTTATTTTTATTTAATTTATTAATTTTGAAATTTTATTGTTGAATTGCACGAAAATTTGATGCATGCAACAATTTAAAAAAATGATAACTTTTCTCAAAATTACAGTATTTGTGGAATTTTTAAGTGATAGAAACATAATTGAAAAAAAAAAGTATTTTATGAACTAAGCAAAATTATTTAAAACACTCTCCCTTCAAATCTTAAATCTAGAAGCTTTCTTTTTTTTTCTACAGGCAGTCACCCCTTTCTCTTTTGTATTTGTTTTTTGGCAAATAATTCTCATATCCATATATAGATCTGAGTTATTGTCACCTAATATTGGGATTTATTGTTGCCCATATATTGAGATTTTGTTCTCAGATCTAATTCTGAGTTATTATTATCATCATTATGGTAATTTTGTCCAGCATCTTTTATTATTTGGATAGTTATGCAGAAAGAAGTGCAGATCTTCTCTTTAATAGAAGGAAGAAATGATTAGATCGGACTTGTAAAAAGACCATGGAGTCGAATAGTGGCCATGAATATCCATCAAGTGGAGCAAGCGATCGCTTATTACACAAATATTATGCTCTGTCAACTCGATTAGATACTTTAAATCAAGATTGTGTTTTTTTATTCTTTGTATAAGCGGTTTATTATCATACTTCCTATTCAAAAATATAGAAACAGATTAATCTGTATCCCATGTCTGTATACAGTTTCCATTTAATGAAATTTCTGGTGTGATTTTTTCTATAAAAAAATATT